CAGGTCACTCCAGTCTATGCGGTCTCTCCTGTCCGCGCTGGTTTCTGTGTGCTGGTCACTCCAGTCTCTCCTCGGGTCTGCATTGGTCTCAGCGCTGGTCCGTGCTGGATCTCCTCCCAGGGTCCAAAATATTTTGAGATTAATCTCAAAACATTTTGAGATTCATCTTTAAAATAATACATAATATATTTTTAAATTAAGCTCATAACATTTTGAGATTAATCTCATCATATTCTTAGATTAATCTAGTTCGAAGCTAGTTCGACTTTATTATCATAATATTTCGAATTTTAAGTCAACATTTTATAACTTTATTCTCAGTCTGGTAAAAGAAGAAAAAAGGGTGACTCTTTTGCTCTGTGTAACTCTTTGCTTTAGGCCTGTTAGGCCGTCTGCACACGGCCCTGCAGTCCCTTATATGGGCATTAGTGGGCGGTTACTTATGCTAAGTACCTATGCTAATGAAGCACCTGGCACGCGCGCTGTACTTACGAGGAAATGGGATTCATCAATCTGAGAGAACAGCTGCGAACAATTCAGCGGCTTACGAGTGCGTTGATGAATCCCACGTGGGGACTTCTTAGAAATCTACTTAAGGACGACTTGAGAAGAAAGTTGAGTAGTTTCTTACGAAGTTATTCGTGAATGAGGCCCAATATCCGGCTGAACACTGACGCAGGCAAAGTCTCAATCTTAATCTTGTTAGATCTGAGTGCTGCCTTTGACACCGTTGACCATGAGATCCTCTTACAGAGACTAGAGGACTGGGTTGGCGTCGCTGGCACCGCCCTAAGTTGGTTTAGGTCTTACCTTGAAGACAGGAAGTACTTTGTGGAGATTGGAAACTCTGTCTCAGATCATATGGCCCTGACCTGTGGAGTACCACAGGGGTCGATCCTGGGACCTCTTCTGTTCAATCTCTACATGCTGCCGTTAGGACACTTTGTTTCTGCATATCAACTGACCTATCACAACTATGCAGACGACACTCAGATCTATGTCTCACTGACTGCAGGAGAACATGGACCAGTGGACTCACTCCTTCACTGTATCCAACAGATCAGTGAGTGGATGCAAAACAACTTCCTTCAGCTAAACGCGGACAAAACTGAAATGATTGTCTTTGGTCCCCAGAAACAAAGAGAGAGCGTCATCTGTCACCTCCAGTCTCTCTCCCTAAAACCTTCAAACAAGGTCAGATATCTAGGGGTAATACTGGACTCAGACTTAAATTTTAATAGCCACATCAAATCAGTAACATCAGCAGCTTTTTACCATCTAAAAAACATTGCCAGGATCAAAAACATAGTGTCTAAAGCAGACTTGGAGATTCTTATCCATGCATTTGTCTCCAGTAGGTTAGACTACTGCAATGGCCTGCTCACAGGTCTGTCCAAACAGGCTGTAAAACAGCTGCAGTACATTCAAAATGCAGCAGCTCGAGTCCTGACTAGAACAGGAAGTACGACCACATTAGTCCGGTCCTCAGGTCTCTACACTGGCTTCCTGTGGCTCAGAGAATAGACTTTAAAACAGCTCTGCTTGTGTACAAGTCTCTCCATGGCCTCGCACCAAAATATATTAGTGACATGTTAGTACCATATGAACCAGCCCGAACTCTGAGGAGCACAGGGACTGGACTCCTGTTAGTGCCCAGAGTCAGGACTAAACATGGGGAGGCAGCTTTTCAGATTCATGCTGCTAAAATCTGGAATAATCTCCCTGAAGATGTGAGACAGGCCTCCTCTCTGACAATGTTTAAAACCAGGTTAAAAACGGTTCTGTTTAGCTGTGCATACAACTGAGGGATTTTATATTTTTATCTTCCTTTTTAATGTTCTGTGATTATTTATGATTTTAATGCTTTCTTGTTTTGTTCAGCACTTTGAGTTGCCTTGTGTACTGTATGAATGGTGCTATACAAATAAACTTGCCTTTCCTTGCCATTAGGTCCATCCATAACTATTTCCCAGTCCTTCATTTGAAAAGAAACAGCAATGCAAAAGAACAAAGCCACCCTTCACACAAACAATGCAGCGTCCTCTCAGCATGGGGTGCTAAATTCCTTGTTCTGTGGTAAACAAGTCGTTTATATTCAAAAGGCTCACCCTGAACACTGAACACACATGCTCCTACACATGTCAGGAGTCCATTTCTCCCATGGCAGCTGGTCACATGGCTCTGACTCACCTGATGGACCGGTGCTTGTGTAATGATGGCGAGCACTTAAAAGCTATGGCCATCAGACCCCCCAAAGCAGTAGTTTTTCCATTAGACACCAAATAACGTCATCACACTGTGTTTAATTGTGGTGGTGTCGTAGAGCAGAAAACAAAAGATTTGGTGAAGCAGCGATTGAAGTCATTGTGACAAAGAATAACAAATAACACGGCTCAACTGTCACAGTGTCACCAACACAATGGTCCCTGTGAGAAGCAGTGTGCAGAGGGTGGAAACTGCCGATAAGTAAATTGGAGGTGATTTAAGCATAAGAACAAGACGTTTTTCAATACTCTCTGTTCTGCCATTTATGTCCAATTATGGAAGTAGTGCAATGAAGATAATGTGCGACTTGCAAATTGACATACAGTATGCTTGTGTGAAAAAGCTGCTCTGTGGTCTGGTCACTGTCAGGGAAACCTTGGATTTTACTTATAATAACGATAATTATACTATTGTGTTGGAACTTGTGTCAGCTAAGTAAGTAAGTGAGAAAGTATCTTTATTGATGCAGTATTTCACAGACCAAGGTCAGTGAAAGCACTGTACAAACACAAGACAGAAGACGCTTATGAAAGCCTCTGACCATCACTACTCACTCATTACATTCCTACTGTTCAGTCTACTCTGCATGTTTTTAGTTTAGGGGAAACCGGAGCACCTGGAGGAAACCTACGTAGACAGCGAGTCAGATTTAGATACATTTGCAAAAGTCGTCAGTGTGCACAAGACAGGTACATATAGAAAACACATGGAATCAATCCACTAAAAAAAGATATTGATGATGGTGTCGTCAGCGTAACGATCAGATTAGAGTCGGAGGAAGACACACAATCATGAATGTAAAAAGCAAAGGACTCAAAATATATCCCGAGGAGATCCAGTGCTCACAGAAACAACATCTGAAAAACTCTGATTTTGACTCTCTGAGAACTGTCAGTTAAAAAGCTGAAAATCCACTTACACATGGCAACACTTAAGACTAGTTTACAGGGAGAACATGCAAACTCCACACAGAAGGCCCAGTCTAGAGGCGGGATCAAACCCAGGACCTTTCCTGCGGGGATTTGTAATTATTAATTTCCGTTCGTTCATTTATTCATGGTTTCTCCTTTTCTCTGGTGTGTTTGGTGGTGTGTGAAGTCCATAGTGTGTTCTCAGTGCAGCAGCAGGTCCAGGTGATGTGTGTGAATAAAACAGAGGTGTCAGTTGTTCCTGTGTAAATGATGAATAATGAGCCTTGGTCCAGCAGATGTTTTCTTAATCCTTAAAACCTGTGCCTCAATTTGAACTCACAATACAATGTGCTGTGTAAATGTAATATTGTCATTCAACTTGTGGTTTGGTTACATAATTAAGTGAATGGCGTTGTTGTATGTATGCTTTGGGTTGCATTTGTTATCATTAAAAATGGTTTACATCAATGAATAAAAGAAAGCCTCCATGAAACATGTTCAGTGATGAGATGACACAAAAATGAAATCAGAGCGTAGAGGATATCAACCACCAGTATTCTAGCAAAACATATTAGTCTGGGCTCACACTTAAAGACTACACACAGTCATTTCACACCTGAGAATAAACTTTTTACAACAATGGCTCGCCGTCACATAGAGCCCTATGTCCTCAATCCAAAATCAGACCCTAATTATTTAGTTCACAATGACATATGGCGAATTAGTTGCATTACTCACAGACCAGAGAAAGGTCATAAAGCATAATATGGATGCTTTAAACTGTGCAGTTAGAACTTTAATTTTCTTCATATGAAGAATAAGCCCTATTCACATACAATAGTCACACAGTAGTCACCTGGTGATCAAAATGTAATATTGTTTTTCAACACTGTTTGTTTTTCTTGATCTTCAAATATTTGTAGATGACAGGGGAAAAAAAAAATCACTTTTATAATGAGTCACACTGAGTTACTTCAAAGATAAATATATAATTGTTATGTAAAACAAAATAAATTAAAGCGCAAGCGGCAAAGAAAGCCCTCGTCACATCATGTGGTGTACTTGCCGATGAATTCACAGCCTGATGGGACCAGGATTACACACAAAAAGATAATTTAAAGGATCCTGAGCGTCCCTAGTGGTCAACCGTGAGACATGCACCCTCTGTATAATGTAACATTTTTCTTGTATAGAAACACACTGAGTTACTTAAAAGATAAATATATAATGGTTATGTAAAACAAAATAAATTAAAGTGCAAGCGGCAAAGAAAGCCCTCGTCACATCATGTGGTGTACTTGCCGATGAATTCACAGCCTGATGGGACCAGGATTGACCCTGCGACTTTGGTGCAGATTGGAGCGTGTTTAGGTTCGAGGCCTTCTATACGTTGCAAATAGGGGATATGCACTGACGTCACTAATTACCCATAATTCATATAATAAAAACTGCAGTCTAGAAGGCCATTTATCATGGTGACTGCTTGCTGACTTTCCTGTTGGACTAGAGGATATCCACAAGGAAAGATATATTGGTAAACTTTAACAAATTGGATGTGATAATCGGTATTTAGCCAAAAGCGATGTTACAGCCCTCACAAACACTTCCTGATACACGCTCTTCAACTACAGTATCTCGTGAACAAATCATCCACAGCTTCTAGAATGAAGAAATACAAGACAAAACAAATTCACACAGGTATAGGCTTTAGAATATATAATTTTATAAATATGGCCAATCCGGCCAAGACTACTCTATAGGTCCCGGTCTCATGGTGGGGACAATTTACAGTCTTTAGTGGGAATCCTGCTCCCCCAGCAGCACTCAATGTGCCTCTGGTGTAGGGTCGGGGGTATAACGGAGACGCACCAAACTGCTCCGGGCCGCTCTGGTCAGGCTGGGCCTCTGTGTCTTGGTTAGTGCTAGATTATAATTCTCAGCTTCACTCGGCGTTGTATCGAGAGGCCCGCTGCCCTGCTGCATACTCAGCTTTGTAGGCAGTTGCATGTGGTCTTCTCCCGTGTGGATCCGCTTAGATTTGGTCCTGGTTCTCCGTGCCCCCTGGTTCTCCATGCCCCCTGGTTCTCCATGCCCCCTGGTTCTCCATGCCCCCTGGTTCTCCATGCCCCCTGGTTCTCCGTGCCCCCTGGTTCTCCGTGCACCCTGGTTCTGTTTGCTCGACACTCAAACTCAGTTCTGTTCCCTGGCCCTTTCCTTGTCCTCATACTCCTCGTCTTCTTGCCCACGCAACATGATTTACCCGTTTTGACAACTCTTGTGGTAAAATTAGCGAGGAATTATCACAACTCCCAGTAGAATGAATTGTGGGTAGTGTGATTTCACGTGTCATGTCATGTCAGTATATCGCTTATCACAGTTATGAAACAGTAATGATGTAATTAGAGCATAAAACAATCTCCAACCAACTAACCCTAACCCTACTCCATGGCAAACTAAACTAACAGAATATTTGAAAATATGTCAAAACATTTGGGCTCGAAATGACCTAAAACGCAATTCATGATTCTGAACACACTTTTATCCGTAACCCCATCTCCAGGTCATGGCTCAAACGCTGAAGCGAGAGTCACTGCAATGATGGTCCTACACATCGTAAACAACTGACTTTAAAGGAGCTATACCCGTTTCTGCAAGTTTTTGTTTTCAGTTTGAATGTTTAGCTCCGCCCCCCAACTCGCTCACAGGCTTCTCATTTCCCCTACGCTCCCCTCCCACGAAACCACCTAGATTAATTTGCGATCTGATACGTATGCAAACATTAGCATGAGCGCAACTTCTTATAAGCTGTACAACAATCACTGATGAAATGGTACAAAAGCAACGCACTGCTAACAAAATACATAACTGAAAGATTACCGCTAGTTTCATGTCTGAATGTAGTCCGAGGCGCTCCCACAGGTTTCTCCAGAAGATACGATGTAAGCTACTTGCGCTATATTCACCCTGCAGGCTTGATTTCTTTTTTGATAATTTTTTTGGCTTAGTTCCCTCTTCTCTTCCTCACAGTTGCGTTGTTTGTAGGGTTCAACATTTTTCCCGAAAATGAGACTTTTTTCGGGAAAAACTTCACCCCAAACTTATATATCATACAAATAACAGGACCTACAAAGCGGCTTCTTCACAATTTGTTTGGCTACAGCAGAATACGTTCCATGCCCGCATTGTTTGCGCATACAAAACGCAAAAGTTTGTAAAAAGCACATTTCGAAGTGTGTTATGGGCCTTACCTTAGTTATTAGTGAACTGCAGACTACAGACCACTTCGGTTCAGACCAGTTTCATGTTTAAGTCCAGATAATAGTTTGAGCGCAGATATGTAATCCTCCATTTGGAAATAAATTCAATGAGTTTTAAAAAGTAAAACAAAACGGGTCTCTCCTCCATAAACTCCTCTGTGTTTCGCTGCATCCAATTTCTATTATCAACCTTCTTACCCTTCACCTCTCTTCCTTATCATTCATATTGTCATTGGAAGCATAACATTACCCTAAATGCATTTTAGATTATCTTTTGTTGTATGTGTTATATGTATGTTAGCCAAACCTGTTGCTGCCCTTAGCAGATGAAAAAAGAAAGAAGCTCTCTCATGGAATTGGATGCAGCCGAATTCAGCCTCTACTCAGCACTTTTTACGGCCTGAATTCATACACAAGCTGAATCAATGAGCTAAGGTTTTCAATTAAATTATGGATTTTAATACAACTTGTATGTAGTAATAAACGTTTTTATGAACTTATTAGAAAATAAATCATAGTTCCTTTAAGGAAAACATAAAATCAAGAGTCGCCTTTATTCGTCCATACGAGTCATTTATTCTGTTAAATAGTTCTGAGCAAAGTAAAAAGGAATAACAAAAGCAGAGATTGAAAAGCCTATATTAGACAACCACAAAACTGTATTTTTGGACAGTGGTGATGAGCCGGGACATTCGACATTCAGAGACATTTATCAACATGATGTGTTTTATCATTTCATTTCTAGTGTTTGATTCTTTGATCTGTTGTTGGCAAATTCAACAGTTTTGGTAACTTCTGTTGTGATTTATTGTGATACAAGAATAAATTGAATTGGAGGGATTTGGATGAATTGGATCATGAGTCAACTATGAGACTGATGCGATTAATTGCAATTCAATATCTTAATGATGTGACAGCACCAGTATACAGTATATATAAATATACCCATTATATATATTTTAGAATATTTCCCACCCTTCTCATTGTATGTACATGAGGAGACGAGGCAGCGTGCACAGAAAAGCCTCGGCTCAGAACTAAATTTTTACATATTCAGATTCTGAGTTACGCTAAATGCAATGTACACAAATCCATACATACATTTGACTGAGATTTGAATTACATTTTGAATGCAGTCTGTACAACACACACTAACAACACACTATTAGGAATAAGTTTCAACCCAAATCAGGTCATTTCAAAACTGTGTAATCATTAACTAGAGGCTGCTGGTTCTGAAGTTTCCTGTTGTGTATGTGTAAAGACTGCAAATCATTATCCTCAAAACTGTAAACTAGGAAGCTTCTGTAATCAAAACAAAGGTGTTGACTCACAGGGCATTCATTCAACCATCATCACATGCAGAAGGATCTGGAACAGGCTCAGAGTTTGGGTGAACAAAACTTGACAAAAGTACTGAGGCTTTGTATTGTAGACTGGGTTTAATAAAGTGTGCAATGTTGCTTATTGCATTCAGGGTTCAATGTTTATAGCGAAATGAATGTTATGGTGGTTTTCTTGATTAGGCAAAAGTCATGACAGAGCTAATGCCTTATGACTTCAATATTATCGCACTAGAGTGTATTTTTGTACAGATATTTACATAGTATATATTTTTGGAGTAGAATAAACAGGTTTATACTATATGTGTGTCACGGGGAAACATGGACAGGTGTGTCTGTGCGTGCGCTTGTGTGTGAGTGTTTGTGCATGACTGCAGCAGCTCACCTAATTTGGATATTAGAGCCCCGCGGTCGGTGGAGAGCGGATGTGCTGCATGGCAGAGGGAAATTTGAATCCTGAATTAGTTGATCATTTTCTAGTTTTTGATGAATGTCACATTCGGGTTTAGTGAAAGTGGTGTGATATTACCGAGAGGGTGACTCTAATGTCTGGGAAGAGAGAAAGAACAGACACTTTGCTTGAGAGAAGTGGAGAACGGTCAATGAAGATGGCAAAAGCCGCAGAAGAGTTTAAAGTATAATTTTCAAGTTAAAGGATCCACTTGGTGGGGTTCTTAAAGGGGTTGATCTCCTTAAAGTTGTAGAGTCACTCAAAAAGTTTGGTGAGGGTCTTGATGCAATTTTGATTGAAGACAAGGAAATCATTAAAGAAGTTATTTATCGGAAATAAATCTTCAAGGCCCGAGAAAGTGCGAACCCTAATGCCCCAGTCTTGATATACTTTAAAGATATCAGAAAACACTTGAGAGAGTATTTATTGGATGCCTGTCATATCAAGTAAAAGTTTGGGAATAGGGCATCTACATGTCATGGGGGAAGAAGGTGCACTAAATGTGGAGGTGACCACGACATTGTAACATGTCAGGAATCTATTGTGGAGAAAGACATATGGCCTTTTCAAGAGAGTGTAGGCATTTTGGTAAAGCAAAGCAGGTGCAAGAAATCAGAAATGAGCAATCCTATGCTGAGGCTGTAAGGCGCAATGTATTATTACAAATCCCGAGTGCAGGAATCTGTGAGTACCGCTCAGGGTGGCCCTACAGGGGGCGGTAGTAGGCAATCAAGATGTACTTGTTAGTAAAGAGGCGCCTCTTGCTTTCATTGTTGATGTAATGTAAGTGGCACGTGATAAGCAAACAATCTGATTTAATAATTCTTGGGGCTATAAAACTACTCTCCCCACTGCATGATTCTATGAGGGGAGCCCATTCGGGGTTGAGGAATATTCCAGTGAGCCAAGCTGGGTGTCTATCTTTGAGACCAGGTGAAGGAGGTAGGGGAGAATACAAAGCAGATGTGGAAGTGGAACATACATGGGTGGGATTCTGAGGCAAGTCTTGATGACGATGATTAGGAAGTATAATGGTCTGTATTAATAGCCAATGGGCAGGGAACAGTGTTTGATGGTAGAGGTATGGACATCATTATTTCCTATAATCCCTGCAAGCCTCTGGTTTTAGTAGAACTTGAAGGGGTATCTAGTAACACAGGTGTATTGTCAGTTTAGGTGGGTGATTTTAATTCTCATAATCCTCTTTGGGGTAGTCAGAGTATAGATTCAAATGGAACTGTGGTGAGGAAGTTTTAGACAGGGGAAATGTAATTACCTTCAATGATGGGAGACCAACATGTAGATGGCAAACCGGTACAACCTCTATTTTGAATTTAACGTTTGTAGCTCCATCCCTAGCCAGTAAAGGAGAATGGGAAGTGTGCGAGGACACAATAGGATGTGACCACTTCAAAGTTTTAACAAGATTCTAGAAAACTTTGATTATCGAGAATGAAGAAAGAGTAGCTCAGCTTGATTTTCCAAGGCTGATGGAAGCACATTTTGGAGGCCACTTTAGAAGGTTTAGACAGTGTAAATAGTGAGGGTACTATAAATTAAATGAGTGAATCCATCTCAACTATGATTGTCAAATTAGCAACGGAGTCAATCCCGTGCAGGAAAAATCCTCGAGAACGAGTTATTGTGCCATGGTGGAATAGAGAGTGTAATGAAGCAGTTAAGCAGAGAAAAGAAGCTTTAAAGTATTTCAGAAAGAACCCAACTCAGGAAAATGCAATAGGGTACAAAAGATGCCAAGCATTGGCACGGAAAGTTATTAAAAAGGCTAAAATGAGTAGCTGGAGGGAGTTTTGCAGTACCATAGGTCCTAAAACTCCAGTTAAGCAGATTTGGGCGACAGTTCATAAAATGTCAGATAAAATAAGATGGTGCATTCAGACATCCCAACTTTAAAGGATGGTGGCATTGAGGCAATATCGAGTAAAGACAAGGCGGACGTTTTTGCAGAAACTTTACAGAATGCTCACAATTTGTGTTTGCTTAGTGTGGAGAGTCTTAAAATGAGGGAGGAGCTGCTACTGCTAGCGGAAAATGGGGGGTAGACTAGATTCA